CCCCCCCGACTCAGCAGAGAACCCAGCCCCCCGTGGGGCCCCCCCCGAGTCACCAGAGAACCCAGCCCCCCCCCGCCCAGCGTCCTGGCCCCCACCCCCGAGTCAGCAGAGAACCCAGCCTCCTCCCGGCGTCCTGGCTCCCCCACCCCCCACCCCACGGAGCCAGCAGAGAACTCAGCTCCCCCCCCCCCCAGGAGAAGACCCAGGCGTCCAGCAGCCATACCGATGTCCAGCGTCCAGAGGTCGCCGAGGCGACAGCCGCTCATGCCCCCGTAGATGACGAGCTTGGATTTCTTGTTGTCCCTCTCGGTGTACACCACGGCAGTGTGGGACTCGCGGGGCGGGGGCAGCACCCCGTATGTGATGGGGATGTCCCAGGCCACCACTCCGGAGCCCGGGCGCAGCTCCAGGATGTACAGGTCATTCAGGTACCTGCGGGGGGACGCGGGCTCATCAGGGGGGGGCACAAGTCCCCCCATCCCCAGGGATCTGGCAGAGTGGTGACCTGCACTTCCACATCTTACCGCTAGAGGGCAGCCTCTCCCCACAGCCCGGCACAGAACCCAGGAGTCCTGGCTGCAGGGGGGCACTCTAACCCACCTGACACCTCCCCACCCTCACCCCCGAGCTGGGAGAGATCACTCACCTGGGAATGTTGTTCTTGGGGTCCTCGCTGTCGTTTGCCAGCCCCCCAAACAGGTAGCACTTGTTGCCCACAAGCGAGAAGCTGTGGCCCAGGCGGGGGCAGGGGGGCGGCCCATTCTTGGGGGTCTTGGCCTTGAGTCTCTTCCACTCCCAGCGGCTGGCCTACAAGGGGGGGTCCCAGCGACGGGGGAGGGGGGTGTCACTGCAATGCAGCCCCACTGCCCCCCCACTCCTGCACACCCCACCCAGCCCCCGCTCCCCTCCCAGAGCTGGGGAGAGAACCCAGGTGTCCGGGCTCCCAGCGCCCCCCCGCTCTAACCCACCAGCCCCAGCTCTCCTCCCACAGCTGGGGAGAGAACCCAGGTGTCCGGGCTCCCAGCCCCCCTGCTCTAACCACCAGCCCCCCTCCCCTCCC